CACATTATGAAATGGACAAAGTCCGACAATTATTTTAAGACATTTTTTATATTTATAAACATAATAATTAACATAATAATAATAAATATAAACATATAAAAACATAATATATAAAAATAAATATAAACATAATAATAATAATAAACATAAAATCTCTCTCTCTCTATATATATATATATATATATATATATATATATATATATATATATATATAAAAGTACGTCCACTAATTCACGATACTTAAGGTAAAATGAATTCAAAAAAATTAAAAAAACTTTCTTGAAGCTTTCATTTTAGCTTTAATTGAAGGCTAGATTAAGGAATTGGTGAGCTGAGTTCGAATTCCAACCGAATCCATTACATTCACTTACATGCTAATACCCTTCTAATCCTCTTTTCCCCCAGCTATAGGTAAATAGCAGAACAGACCGGGTTCTATAGCCTTGGAAAAAAACAGATGAAAGATGTTTCAGAAATTCTTTCGACTATTATTATCAGTGAGGTAGATCTCACAAGAAACATGTCAAACGGCTCTGACAAAGAGGTTCAGCTTAGTGGAGCGGGCGTGATGAATGGCTTTTTTTTTTTTTAAAAAGATGAAAGGTGACAGGACAAAGACAACAGAGAACCGCTTGCCGTGAAGCGAAAATGAAGGCACACGAATGTGACCGTTTGCCTTCACCTCGCCCCAACTCTGCGTCGCTCGTCTACAGCAGAAGGCTACAATCGAATACAATTTGGCTACTGCTATAATTGTATCATGGTTTTATTTCGTGGGTAACGATCTGGCTAAAGTGTTATGTTTTGAAGACACAAATGTTTGACTGGAAGAAGCTGCATCCTTAGAACGAACCCGGTGTCTGGTCTGAGCTGCATCGCTACATATGCAGTGTTGATTTCTTTGTCTACACTGATTTTATCTACAAATGATCTAGTCTTGATATTTAGCACTTTTTCCACAAATATAGCAAATTTTAAACGATACTAGACTACCCGTGATCCGTTGGGTCACTGACGGTTCAGGTTATAAAACATTGAAGTTCATTTCAACGTTCCATTGAAATGAAAGTTAATCTTATTACGATTCAGTTAAATATTTCAATTCGTTCGTGTCATCATTGACCTGGTTTACAAGTTCATGCTTAACGCTTTACTGATTGTTTACTGCATTTAATAGAAATAGAACTTCCGGTTCCGGGGTAAACTTGAACTTTAAATCAGATTAACTTAAAAATATTTTTTAATATGCCAAAAAATATATTAAAATCATATTCATTTAAATATTTTTAAACATGCCAAAAATATTTTTTAAATATTGTTTGTTTAAAGAAAGCTGAAATATAAATAATTAATCTACAAACAACTGGTCGAAGCAGCAAAGCGGCATCTCTTTAAGTTTAAAATATATTAATTAAAAAAATTGTCTGTTTGAAGAAAGTTAAAATAAAAATACTTACCGTATAAACAACTCATATTTTTAAATCTTATTCATTTAAAATAATCATACTTATTATAAGACTCAGGTTGTGTGTGTGTGTACGTTTATATATTGGATCGGATTTCCTACATTTTTCAACTAATTTCAACAAAACTTCACAGGACTACGTAAAATTACATTGCGGTGGTTCTGACAGCGCCAAAAATTGGAAAAACACAATTGTTTTTGCACGAAATCAATTTGAAAACACGATTAAGAGTCATCGCGAGAATGAAAGGGTGACAACTCATATCGAATTATACTTATTATAAAACCCAGTTTGTTTGTGTGTGTGTGTGTGTGTGTTCGTTTATATATGGGATCGGATTTCCTACATTTTTCAACCGATTTCAACAAAACTCCACTTTTTTTTGGCAGGTAGTGTTATTGTCTTGCACACTTTTTTTTTTAATTTTTACATTCAGAATGCTTTAAAAATTCCATTTACAAGACAATTGTTTATAATAAAATTCTATTCAATCGGTAGACTCATAACGATTGAAAACAATATTTTTGTTTGAGTTTGGCCAATTTGTAAAAAAAACAAAAAAAAAAAAAAAACTAATTAAGACATGCGTGTCCGTCAACCTTAAACAATAATCTTTGTCAATTTTATTTTTCAGTCTTTATGATGGTCGATACTTGATCTACCTCTTACTGTTACATCCCCGGGCAACGCCGGGCTCTACTGCTAGTTTTAAATAAGATTAACTTAAAAATATTTTCTAAATATTTGAATTTAAAATGTTGTTTGTTTAAAGAAAGCTGAAATATAAATAATATAGAAACAATTGGAAGAAACAACAAAGAAAAAAATTGTCTCTTTGAAGAAATTAAAATAAAAATACTTACTGACTAAACAACTCGTATTTTTTAAATCTTATTCACTTAAAAAAATTATGCGCCAGACGGACGCACCCCACAAGCACGCACGCAACTTTTCCACTTTTAGTATCATAGTTATATAATATACTATTTAAAATTATTGGTTATTAAATTGCTTATAATAAGCAAATAAATAAATATTCAAAATAGTTAATGTTTGATTATTTTGATGTTTTCCAAAAAAATAATTCTTTTTGTACCTTTACCGATTAAAAGAAATGATAATATTACATTTATTTGAATAATTAAATAATTAGTTAATTGAAATTATTAAATGATATGTCGGACAAAAGGTTTGGTTAACTTATTATTTTCTCACTGAATCCCTTTATTTTGTCTTTTTTTGTCTCTTCGCCGCACATCAGCAATTAGAACGGCTCAACAACAGTATTGTTCGCCCAAAACAGAAAATATATCGACAAAACAAAGCAAATATTTAAAAAAAGGAAAAAATTATGTATGATTTATGTGAGGACTCCTGAAAAAAAAGAAAAAAAAAAAGAAAGCACACTAGAAAACCCCCCCCAAAAAACAGCAAATATTTTTAGGTTGTTGTGTGGGAGTGGTTACTAAAACTAAATAAAACAAAAATCTAGAACGAAACAAAAAAACAAACACCCAATTTGACAATTGCCATTGGACGATCTTGTAGTTTAGCGTCCCAAACTATTAAAGTTGTTGCAAGTAAGGAGGTCACTACGTACAATTACAAAAAAAAAAAAAAAAAAAAAAAAAAAATAGTGTCACTTTTTCAGACAGCATAAAAATTATTTTTTTTACTGATTTGCATTATTTTCAATCAATTTTAAAATGTAAAAAATTCAAATATAATTTGTAAAAATGTAATTGTAATCTGTAAAAACTAAAAAGACAATAAAGGCAAAAAAGGAAAACTTTTTTTGCCAACGCATTTCTTGATCAGAGGACGAAACGCGTTGGTAAAGAAAAATTTTCATTTTTTTTTTTGTCATTATTCATATTACTTTAAAATTTAAAACTCTTTTATTTTTGAATTACTGAACACTACTAATAAATAATATGAAATAATGTCGGATTAAAATTAAAAATTAAACAAATTCCTTTATTAATTAATTACACACAGACACACAAGGTCTAAAAAGGTTGCGTTCAAGCATGAAACAGATTGTCGCCACTCGGTGTTGACTTCAGTGCCCACGTTTGTATTTAATTTAATACACACGCTCTATCGCTGATCTGATATTGCTTTTTTTTTACCCATGAATATAGCATTACAATTATTTGTTATCAAATATTTGTGTGTGTTTAGTTTAAATGTATATTTGTGTAGCAAACTTTCTTTAAAATATTTTTTAATACATTATGTGACAGACAAGAAAAAAAATAACATACTACTACTACTACAACAACAACATAATACGAACAATGAATGAAATGAAACACAACAAAGGAACTCTTGAAAATGGCTCATGAATTTCCCGAAAGCGTGTGTGGGACAATAATCATTTATGGAGAGTGTCCACACTCTCTTCAGTCTTTCCCCAAAATATAAAACTGTAAGACTAAAGAGCATTAGAAAAATTTCAATGAAATCAAAAAGTAAAAAAAAAAAAAGAAAACTTTTCTTTACCAATGCGTTTCGTCCCCTGAAGAACTTTATCATGACAAATGTGGAGATTTTAAAATAAATACAAAAGTTACAAATAAAATGATAAAAATCTCTTTATCTTGATAAAGTTCTTCATTGGACGAAACGCGTTGGTAAAGAAGTTCCCCTTTTTGTCTTTTTAATTTATATTATCATTTTTTTATTTGAATTTTTACACACACACACACACATCTATGTGTGTGTATGTATGTATGTATATATACGCAAACAAGTTTGATTTATGAAAAAGAATCGACAATAGAATAATGAATAAAGAAAGAGTAAAAGACAAAGAAAGGAAAACTTTTTATCAACGCATTTTCGTCCTCTGAGGGACTTTATGACGATAAGTTATGTAATAATTGTAATGAATTTAACTGTACATAATATACACACACGCGTGTGCATTATTTTCACGGAATTATACTGTACGAAAATAATACGACTCAAAAATTACAAATATTAGCAAAAATATACTGAATGAAAAGTATTATTGGGTACCTTCAGAAAAGAAAAAGAAAATGCAATATGTTTTTAGGTATTGCATTTTAAACTTCAATTAAAAATAAAAATAATGCATTTTAATTTAAAAAAAGTTAAAACTATTTCTTGAAGCTTTTACTTTTTAGTTGTAATTCCAAATTAATTATTTCCAATAAAATACTGCAAATATTTCAAAATCGAATTTAAATTATTTTTTCTGATTATCAGTAATTTATAAAATCGTCCATAAGAGAAAGATGTGTGTGTGTCCAGTCAACCATAAACGTGAAATGGTTGCTGATAATGCGTTTTTTTTTTACACTTTGTTGTTTAATTAAAAATAGTAATGTCTTTTTAGACTTTATTTCTTCGTGTTTTGTTAGATGTGGCTACTGATCAAGTGCCCTTTAAAAGCTTTACACAACAACCGGGATAATTTGGGATACTAAAAACAAAACAACAAAATTCCCTCCTCTCTCCCTCGTTTCTTTTTTTTTTCTCTCTCTCTCTATTTTTAAATTTACTTACCATTCTATTGCACAAGACGCATGTGACGGATAAGTCATGAAAATATAAATGAAGACAATGGCGAAAGTCAGACTAATTGCGACGGCGGACAAAAACGCAATCACTCCACATGTCGATCGGCAACGCTTACTGCAGTGACAACAATGTCGACGACGGAAATAACCAGACGTAAGAGGCGAATATGAAGATGAAGAACCCATTTTAACCCTTTTTTCCAAAAATGAACCCAAACAAACAAGAAGAGCCTATTGTGACCTCGCCGCTTTCGTTGATAATAAGGCCGCTGGTGGCGTCCCAACTCTTCAACCAATTCGTTTACTTCCTACTTGGCGATAATAATCGCATCTGACGGAAATTTGTATCCAAAGAAATTTCATTCCGCTCCTGCTGATTGTATATAACCAGGGCGCATTTCAAGAAGAAAAAAGTGTCTTTATTAGACATCCATACTACAAAAAGAGCCTTAAAGTCTTATAAATAGATACGAAAAAAGAAAAAAAACGACAATGATATGTTCTTTTAAACTACAGACGCCCAACAACGTAACTTTTTAGATTTTTGTTTCGAAACTTAAAATGTCTCATTTTATACATTTGGCAGTCTATTAAAATATATATTTTTACTTTTCGGTAATTAATTAATAATTTAAAAATTCTGCAGAAACGAGTTATTTAATTTAATTTATTTCTCTTTGATCTTCCTTTGCTTTCTCTAGATTTTGTTTGTTAAAAAAAGTTTACTATTCAACACGTAAAGAATCCATGACTCAATTCTTAAAAAAAAAAAAAAAAAATTATGGAGTGGTAATTAAAGTTGACTGAACAGACGTTATTGATTTCGTGCCCTCTACCCGTGAGAAAAATGTCTGAATAAATTAAACTAAAAAGTATCTAAAACATTTTTTTTATATATTTTTTAAAAATTAGTGCCAGGGTTGGCAATCACTTTTTTTATGACACCAGATAAATTGTTTTCCATCTCACCCAAAATAGCCTTCTTGTGATAACTGAGTGAAAAAAACAAAAGGGTGAAATTAAATTTAAATTATGCGTGAAGAAAAAAAATATGAGGATCAAAGTTGTGGCTTCAATAAAAGTTGAAGTAATTGTTTTAACAAATGATTCAAAATTTTCGTCTTTGAAGACGGTGTAAAGCGAAATGTATACCTTTTCTTATTGAACAAGTAATTACAGTTAGCCGCAGAAAAAGTAAAGTCATACGAACGCTGTGAGTGTGGGTAGGTTACAAAATGGAGTGTTGACTCTCTTTGACTGAATGACTAGTGCTTTCGGTGTGAATGTGTGTACGTGTCTACGGCAAAGATAAAGAGACAAATGGACTCGACTCTGACTCTACTGGTGGATAGCGTTCTTTATATAAAGGTTAGTTGGATCAGATAGCTGTATTTTGAGAGTTGTTCTGATATTGTTTTTCGAACTTAGTTGCATTTTGTCGGTTGAATAATTCTTTAAAATCTGAATTAGAAGCTTTAAGTTCGCGAGAGGTTCTTCTTATTGACTCTAAAATAATTGTTTATTCGATTTAAATTTAAATTTGTTTCAAGTTACTAAAAGCTTCTAATTTCTAAAATATATGACAATGTTAATACAGTACTTACTTTGACTGAATGGCTCATATATTCAGTGATAGAGTGATTGTGTGTGTGTGTGTGATATATATATATATATATATATATATATATATATATATATATATATATATCGTGTGTGTGTGTGTGTACGGCCCGGAAAGACAAACGAACAGACTCGATTCTGGCTCTACTATTAGACAATGTTCCTTATATAAAATTGGATAAGATTGGCTTTTTTTTTTTTTTTAGAGTTGTTCTGATTGGCCCATAAATTTAAAAACGTTTTTTCTTTTCAAACTAGAGAAATTTACCCAGATTTTGGTGACTGAATCTTTTGAAATTCGAATGAGAAGCTTTAAGTTCGACAGAATCTTTTCTTATTGGCTCTAAAATAGTTCTGTATTAGATGTGAATTTTAATTTGTTTCAGCTTACTATATAAATCAATCCTCCTCCCTCTCCAGAACTTTCAAAATTGTTGGAATTGTAAAACAAATAAAAAATAAATAAACAGTTCAATTTAAAATTCGCTGAAGATTACCTGTGTCGGAGTTACCTCCTCCTTCGCTCCTTAAACTAAGAGAACAGGTCATTTCGACCTTGACCTCTCGTTTGTGCTGTTAACCTGTGGTAGAGACTAGCAAGTTCCTTTTTTAGTTAAGTTATATTACAAACCTAGTTGTAATATACTGCTAGACATTTTTAGGCCTTAGTTCCCTTTAGCTAACCTCGACTTATTTTTTTTATAGATACTTTACTGTTTAGGTTACCCAATTCTCTTGCTGGTCTTCCTTACCACAAGACAGTGACTTCACACTAAATTCGGGTCGGCGACTTCACCCAGCCTGAGATTCCCAACCTCCCCAGTTTGTTTTTTGCCCCCCCCCTTCTATCTCGACTGGGTCAGCTTTATACTTCCCCATATCCGTATGATTTTTTATCACCTTTCCCACTACCTTAGTGAGAGAGCTGCTTGATTTTGTTCCAATGGGCAGAATACAGTGGTCTCCCTGCCTTTTGAGGGAACGGGCCCTACTAACATCAGTTAACGTTTAATTTCATTTATGTTAATATTTTAGTTCGTTATTGGGTTCATCTCCCCCCCCCACTCTCATCTTTTCATTTTAGAATTTTTGTACATATGTGTTAGGATCATTAAATTATTATGACACGGGGCGCGTTTTGTAGGTCTCCCTAGAGTGGATGTGGTATTATGGTGCATGGAGGATTGATTGGTGACGGACGAGTTCTTATGGTGAATGAGTAAATTGTAATGTCTGAATGGGTCGTGAATCAAATTAGCTAGGTATAAGATAGTTAGTGAAGACCAGCCTTTTACCTCCTCCCTCTTTTCGGCCTTGTGCCACAATTTTGTATTTTTACAAAATAAATCACGGTCGGAGACTTCCGCTTTGGCGGATTTCGCCCAGTTTTGACAAATAAGGATCGTTTCTAGGCCTTTGGCTGAGATTCGATCACGGCTACGACTAGTTTGGACTGGCTTCGACCTGGACTAGCTAAGACCAGCCATGACCAGCGTTGACTAGGCTCTGACCAGCTTGGACATGCTAAGACCAATTTGGAACCTTTTGGCCCTTTGAGTGGAAACACGTTAAACCGACCTTGTGTCACATCCTGACCCTGTGGGAGTCGGGTAAATACCCTCGGCGACTGAAACGGTCGGATACGCGGCCCCTCTGCCTTCGCGACCAGGAACGTCGATCAACGGGTTGCGTTATAAGTTACGCTCCCATTTTTTTTGTCTGCCAACATGATGATAGTTGGAAACCTCTCTCTCTCTCTCTCTCTCTCTCTCTCTCTCTCCTTCGCCTACTACTTCTAGCCCCCGTTCGACGCTCGGCATTTCGTCCCTACTGGCTGCCTGCACGTCGTCCATAACCTTTCCCGTACACTATGTTACGGGAGGTTACTAATATCGGACTCGACCGGAAACACGCAACGCCTGCACTGGACCTGTGACATGCCCGAAAAACGCCAGGTCCTCTTTCCTTCCCAACACGTCAAGTTGGCATCCAGGCCACGACCAACATCAACTAGAACAACCGAAAGTGATCATCCCGGCCACGACCAACATCAACTGCAACAACCAACAGTTATCATCACGGCAACAGTGGTCATCTCAACAGCGATCATCTACAACGACCAGCAGCGACCACCTGCATGACCAACAGCGATCACCTGCAACGACCACCAGCGACCACCTGCATCCTGTAACGGCCTACCTCGACCATCAATGCCTGCACCGGAACTTCTGCACCTCTACCGTTCCGACCACCTTTTCTAGAATAAATTAGCATATATCATATATATCCTCGTTCTGTCGTCTATATTGTTACACCTCGTCAGATTTAACGTCTTCGAAAATGTTAGCGGGCCTTCTTGTGACCTCATGACCCCTTTGTGAACCGGAGTCGCTCGGGGGTCCGCTACACCTGAATCAAAAGACGCCTGAAGAAGGGCAGGAGGGAATAATGGCTGAAACACTGTGATAACAACAACAGAGATGAGATCATTTAGTCTGAATATAAATATTGACAATCCCTCAACCCAGAAATTCAGGAAGTAAATTTGTAAAATTCAGTCATGTGTTATGTTGTTTTGTGACAGACACGAAGTCATTTTTTTTTATTAAGTCTATATTTTAACTCAGCTCTGTATTTGCAAATGCTTCACAATAATAAATATGCATTAGCAATTCTGGGACGGGTGGGATGGTCAGTCACTCCAAGAGGCGCTCATACCCACCTATTTTATGTAGTCTTTTTTGCTGTCGTGATTTTATATGGAGTAATGTAGTAGTAATATATATTTTAAGTGGCGTAATGCTTAGCAAGCTTGTCTTGTTAGAACAATTACGACTGAGTAGTGAGTTCGATCTTCACTGGGCCCCCCATACCTTCGGCCTTGTTAAGCCATGCTTAGAAAATCAATATATTTTAATAAACTTAGATTTCCGAAAAAAAGAAAATCTCGCAAAGTATCGCAGCCATAGTTAATTCTCGTAAAATTTGTCTGCCATGTTCGATAACTGCGGAGGTTATTTATTTTTTAAAAACTATCTTGTCATTGCTATTGTCGTGTACTGTTGGAACGCCAATTCCTTAACTCAAACAGGAGTGCTTACTTCGGCATCCACAGATCATATTAGAAAAAAAATGCAATTCCACTTCCAAAAACTCCATGATCGTAAAGCATCTTTTCTGACTAGTCACAAAAAAGTTCATACGGTTTTCGCAGTAGCCGTTTCTAAGCCACTGATTCACTATAAAGCCAAAGCTGATTTCACCCACGAAAAGCCGATCCGACTAATATTAGCGATGGTTCCCCACGGCATGCAAGCTGGTTAGGAGATGCGCAATGACAGCAAGACGCTTCCGTCAACAGCGATGCCTTCGGCCAGAGACGAATCCAGCAACAGAGACTAACCCTCGATTAATAGGATGCGATAATTCGGGGAATATTTCTCTCCCGATTCTATCTCGACTGCAAGTTTGGGTTGTACTCTGAACGACTGATATACAATACCCCGAACAAGAAAACAATCGAACTTTGTAATTCATAGAAAATAAAAACTCTTGTTGGTTAGTCT